CGCCCCCCGCCACTTGCCATTCTCACCAGCATTTTGAATCAAGTATCGCTTCTCGGTGAGAAGCAAAGCAACCATACCAGAGCGTGGTCAAGTTTTAATTGGACATTTGAAGACGATGGCTTGTCATGTTGCAGGGGAGTTGGGCCATGCCCCAGCTTGGTCAGATTGGCTTCCAGGGTCTAATGCCCCACATAATGCATTAAGGCTCTCTCAGTGCGCATTACAAAAGCTCGAGGTCGTTACTGCCGAGGGAGGGACTCACAACTCAACCCGCTGTACAGATTGCATGAAACAATACCTCGATTGGTAGGTATTTATTTATTGATTTACTGCGTCCTGTAACTTCTCACTGATCAAATATCTATCAATGACTTAAGCGATGGCAATTATAACGCTCAGAATGTCAATGCGAGCGCTGTACACTCTTGTCATTGGCTTTGGGGTCTGGCAGGCTCTTTCCTGGTCACCCTTGCACCACTCACACCCAGACTCGGAGCCTGACGCGCTGCATTCACTGCACTTCGCAGGTTAGTGATGTCATTTTACTGCCCTTCCCAACAGCTCCGCCTCCGCCTCCGCCTCCGCCTCCACCTTCTCTTGTATTTCTATTTGTAATTTCGACCGTTTACCTCCCGAGATAACAACACGCATTCAAGTTTAACAATGGGTGCAGCCTCAAAATCTGATTGCCTCGGCGACATCATTCGCCGACATAAACCGGACTTGAAGCCTTTTGAACAGGCCTATCGACAGATACATGAGAACGCCGAGCTGTCGGAACAAGAAAACAGCACCGCCCAGCACGTAGCATCGGTTTTAGCTACCCTGAACTTTGAGGTCATTCGGGGCATTGGTGGCAAGGGAGTTGTTGGTATTCTGCGCAACGGAAAAGGACAGACGGTCCTTCTGAGAGCCGAACTCGATGGTCTTCCTATCCAAGAAGATACTGGGCTGCCCTATGCCAGCAAGAAACGAATGGCTGATAGCTGGGGCCGATATCAGCCCACTATGCACGCCTGCGGTCACGACATGCATATGGCGTGTCTCATGGCCGCAGCCAGTCTTCTCAACAACGCCAAGACCGAGTGGTCCGGAACCCTCATTGCCCTATTCCAGCCCAACGAAGAGCACACCGGCGGCGCCAAGGCTATGGTAGAGGGTGGCTTATACGACCGAGTTCCCGTCCCCGATATCATCCTTGGCCAACATAGTGGCCCGTTCCAGGCTGGGAACATCAACATTCGCGGAGGCCCTGTTCTCGTATCTGCCGACACCATGCATATCAAGATCTATTCGTCACTGGGCCATCCCGCTAATCCACAGATCAACATCGACCCCGTCAAGCTCGCCAGTAACATCATCGTTCAGCTGGACAGCCTGGTTGACGAAATTGCGGGGGATCAATATGCACATGCAGGTGTGGATGAAATTCACGCAGGCTATCCTGGACAGGATTGGCTGTCCCATGTCAACTTGACCTTGGACATCAAGGCTTACGACGATGCAATTCGTGTATCGCTACTTGATCGCATTGGTGACCTGATTAGGGAGCAGTCGCATAAGGCGGGGGTCAAACAGCTACCAGAAATCTCGGTCAGCGCCCGCGCACCCTTGACCAACAACAGCCAGCCACATGCAGCAGCCATCCGCCAATCATTTTCTCACTTTTTTGGCAACGAGAGGCTGGGAGACACGCTCCCCAAACATCCCTGCGAGGACTTTTCTCGTTTGGCCATGGCGCATAACCAACCCTACGTCTTCTGGTTTTTTGGTAGGGAAGATGGGGCTCGATTAGACGACGCTGTTCGCAACGACAAGTTCTTGGATCAAATCCCCATCAATCATTCCCCGCGCAACGCTCCTCTCCTGCACCCCACGCTTCAGACCGGAATGGAGGCCATGGCATTGGCAGCACTGACCTTCCTGGCGGCTGATGCTGACTTGGGCCAACCGAGGGCTGCAATGTAACTTGATGTTGGTCACCTGCGTTACGCCATAGTATGTCTCGGCGGCCTCAAACTGCATAGTTATGACTCAACCACTAGGATTTAATGTGATGACGTTGAGCTCTGCCCAAGTCGCAGTCGTAATGCTTTCATGCGTCCCCACCGCCTCTCGTGGTATCATTTCGTACCTCTGAAGTGAAGGAATATGAGATACAGTGTGATTTCTTCTACCCTTTCGTTTTTACGTATCATAGTGTACATTGATGAGTGAATATCGTGCCATGTATTGCCCCTTAACACTATTCCGTATTTTCCTCCATACTGTTACAGCTCCCCAATAGGCCGCTCCAAATTGAAACCATGGATGACGAGTTGAAGGCCATACTACCGGAACCGGTTTCCCCAACCATTGAGTTAGCTCCTCCAACGCCTTTCACCTCTTCTTAGACTTTCTTGAATACTGATCTCAAGTTTTAGTATTATAATTGTCGAAGATTATTATAAACAAGACCACTCTCGCTCTTTGCTGACCCGACTGAAAGGCGTCGGTAGTGCTAATCTGTGGACATTCTCGTGTACAAAGAAAGCAGCAGAGTCAGGGGATCCAACTGTGTGGACAGTCCTGAGTGACTCCGGATCAGATTTGGTTTGTTCGCTACACGAAAATACACGAAAAAAGGTTTGTGCTCCATAGAGATCGCTAATGTTGCCACGGCGCTAACTACCTCAGCTACTGTGTCAAAGCAGGCCTTTACTGACAATTGGCGTTGGTATCGGTGGTTTAGTTTTAAAACGGGCAAGCCAAACTCACTTGAGTGAGGATAAAATTTGGAGAGCAACAACTGACTGCTGGATAGGCTATTGCCCTACTCAAGCACGACAGCTTCCGGGGGCATCAGAATAACACAGAGGTCCTCAAATGCCTGCAGGGGATTGTACTTCTTGGTGTTCCTCATATCACAGATCAGCATTCAGACTTGTCTCAACGATTGACTTGGCTGTTGCGCTCGAACAAGTCCCTCGAAAAAAAGGCTCCCGCTGCTGAGAGGTATCTGGCGGTGGTAAGAAACATTTCAAGCAGGTTTGAAGAGACAAGATTGACTATTCCGGTCATATCCGCATGCGAGAATAACCAGACAAAGATTAAGAAGGGCCTTTTCAAATCTTCCGAGAGGATCCAGGTAAGCCGCCGCAAGGCGTCTGTCGCTCTACATTGTGTTCGTTCGCACGCTTACAATAATGAGATCCTGGGTGAGCCCCTGACAAAGACCTTCATGAAAGGAGAAGGGGAAGTGCTCGCATTGGATACCGACTACTTCGGAATTTTCAATATGGCTCCAGAGAGCAGGACCTGGAGGGGCATCAAGGAGCTCATCAACAAGTGTCGAGGTGCTGAGCTCAGTGATATATCTTCGTCTGCCTCGATTAAATCCGGTAAGCCAATTACGGCTCCTAATTCAATCAAACTAAAGAACTCATGTCGTTTCCATTGGTACAGCCAAGTCACACTCGTCCTGGTCAAGCGAAAATATTGTAATCGGGAGACAATCCGAAGAACAAGGCCAAAGTAGGTTAAACGTCAAGCCCAAAGCTATTTGGAGAACCCCACCTATTAACACACATAGAAATCCAGGCAGAAACTCAGAGCTTTTCTAGTTATGAAGATGTCTCCATTGCTAAAGAATTAGAGAGGAGTACACCTTGCCCCGAAATGCCCTGCCATTTGAGAAACCCTCATAGAATCAACCCCAACTTTATGGGGAGGGACGATGTTCTACACCGAGTTGACGAGGCTCTTTTGCCCTCTAAGAGCCGCCGTCGTCGTACCTTTTCTCTCTGTGGGTTTGGTGGCATTGGTAAGACTGAGATTGCAGTCCACTATGCCTTCACCAGGGAAAAGGCCTTTGATGCAATTTTTTGGGTAGAGGCAGATCAGGCCACAAAACTAGGACGGAGTTTTGACTATATCGCCAAGGGATTGGGTCTGATCAAGACCGCCTCTGGTGTTGGCCATAGTGAAAGTCGGCAGGCCGTTATCGAGTGGCTGGAGGATCCTCAAATGAAGGTCAAGTCCTCTGGCAATACCGACACTCCAGAAGAGGATAAAGAGCCATATCTTGCAAACTGGCTCTTGATATTCGACAACGCGGAATCTTCGACAGATCTAGAGGATTACTGGCCCAAAGGCCATTATGGGTCTATCTTGATAACCAGTCGTGATCCTGAGTTTATTTCAGTATCTGATCCTGCACGAAAAGATGGCTTAACTTTGATTTCCATGACAAACGACGACTGCGCCCTGCTACTGCTGAAACTGGCACAACAACCGGTGACCGAAGATAGTAAAGCTGACGCAAAATTATTGGCTGAAAAGATACACCGGGTACCCCTTGCCATCAGACAGCTAGCAGCGCTCATACGCAAAGAGAAAATCACAGTGGGCGAGTTTCTCCAGTACTATGGTGGAAGCTCCTTGCTGTCAAAGTTGGACCAGGTCCAAGGATACACGCTACAGGACCTGTACCGACTTACCATTTCAACTGTTTGGCGCCTGGAAACATTCAAGCCTGCGCAGACCAGCCTTCTTAACAAGATGGCCATGATGGACCCTAGTCAGATTGACGAAACCATTCTCCAACGAGACGTCACTTGCAGTAGTAGCACAGATGTGTTCCCACGAGGACTTGATTTTGTCAAAACGCGGACGGAATTACTTGCTACTTCTCTGATCGATCGTAACTCGGAGATCAAAGCTTTATCCACCCACCGCCTGGTGCAAGAGGTCACAATGGACAAGATGGATCATTCCTCTCTTGTGTACAACTATAGCTTTGTTGCTGAGTTGCTCAGGAGCTCTTGGCATTTCAAGCCGGAGAAATTTGACCGAGAAGGGCAACGCAATATGGATAACCTGACGCCACATATCATAAATCTTCATGGTCTCAAGGTAGACTTTCACAGAGACTTTCCTGGACTCGAGAACCAAAGGGCGTTAGCTGTATTATTCCAAGAATGTGCCTGGTAAGTAACTAATATCTATGCAAGTGTCCTTTGGCGTGCCTTGGTCATCTTGGATTCTTGATGGCAATGCAATCACTCCATTGCAAAGTGGGAAACACTAACCATGGCCGATTCTAGGTATTTGACTCAGCATGGTCATCATCCAGACGCAGGGCCACTATTCGACACAGCCCGAGACATTTGTGAGAAAAATCAGCCTGAGTTGGATGATGAGTTAGCTACAACTCTCTTTGCCATGGCTCGGTGGGGCGTAGAAACAGGCGCTGATGCCAACGAGGTGCTTTCGATCAGCAGGGAGCTCCTCAAAGTCCGAGAGCAAAAGCACGGCATAAACTGTAACTCTGACAATGAGGTCAACTTGGGTGTCCTTAAGGATCTCGCTACGGCACATACAGGTATGTCGCAAGCTCTTTTACTATTAGATAGATACCAGGAGGCATTTGATTCTGCACAACGATGCATTGACCTGGAGGCAGTGTTGCCTGAAATTGTCGAGGGCAAGGCCATCAATCAATTTGCCATGATATACCAGGCACTGGCTCTATTTGGTCTTGAGAGATATGACGAGGCAGCCAAGTTGATGGGTGAGATCATTGCTTTTCGGAAGAGACAATTCGGTTCCGAAGACAAGAATTCGATCAAGTAAGTGCCCACCACTTTTGTGACTCCAGGCTCTCTAAATAATGCAATCTAGGCCTGGCCTCGCTCTCCAAGTCCTCGGACAGATCTACTTCAGTCAAGGACGATACGAAGATAGCCGCATCGTTAACGTCAAGGCACTGGAGATTTACACAGCTGTAACGCACAACAAGTACTATTATAGGGCCGCCCAAGTATCTCTTAAACTTGCTGAGTGCCATGCGGCCCATGGTCAGCCGGAAGCCGCGAGGTATGTGCTTCCCACTGTGAAAAAGTAAAAGGCGAATCTTTTCAGTTGTTGACCGAGTGTATAATGTTGTAGTCAATACTTCGACCGTGCCATCTCCACATACCAACATCACTCACACCTAAAGTCAGACTTGGCACGAGCCTACTTCAAGAAGGCTATGTTTCAAGATAGGTTGAAGCATCGACTTGGTCTGGTTGTTGATGATGAAGAGGACGACCCAAGGAGATTGGCAATTGAGCTTTACAGTCAACTGACAGGTGAAACAGACCGGCAGAAATTACACGCGGTCGGGGAAAATGATTTCAATAAGCTTGTGCGAATATTCTCCAGGTAGTTGCTGGAGTGTATACGAATGGAAACAAACAATAACCACTATTATATTCCGCGCGAAGCAACCATCACTATAGACCTGATATCAACTAACATTAAAACAAAGATATATCAGCCATTGACATTGGAAGACAACAAACTAACCATTTTGACTTTTTCTTTCTTTTTCTTATACTTGGCTTCCAGCCAATAGCTCATAAGCCCGGAAACCAAGATCACAGCACCGATGGTTCCAAATCCAACAGCCCAGCTCCAGCTTTTCCCGGAGTCCATCTCTACAAAGTTCATACCAAATACAGAGGACACGAACGATGCTGGAATGAAGACCGTGGCAAGCAATGTCAACAGCTTGACTTGTTCAGACTGATTAATGGCCTGGCGTGACTCAAGCAATGCAGCTGCATTCATGATGGCTGCGGTACCCTCCAAGCATCGCTGCGAAAAGCGGTTCGCACGGCCTGTGAGAGATGCAATGTCTTGCAATATACTATATCTCGCCGTGAGTCTTGCTCCAGTGGCTGGTGTTTGATGCAGTTCAGTGCCAATTTCATCTTTGCTTAGTTCATGGTATGCCTTAGTAAAACATTCGAGTTCGCTCAAGTAGGCAATATGGTCATCTAGCAGAGCTTTGTTGTAACGCAGATTCTCCAGTGCGAATTCTGGGTCCTGTGAGGCACGGCGGAGACTTTCATCCACCTGTTGACCTAGGAAGTTGATGAACTGGCTTTCGCCCGAGAGACAGTACTTGTAAAGGTCATGCAAAAGTCCAAGGGGGTCCGTCTTGGGTGTCTCTGTCGTGGATGGGAGACCATATACATTTGGCAGGTGGGCAGAACGTGGATTGCTTTGGATGTTGGTCTGACCAGTGCCTTGTTGGTTGGCAGGGATATATCTGTCCTGGCTTGGATGTGGCCCTGGACGGTGTTGTCCATGCGCTGCTGATGCCGTTGGCGTGGTAGTCGCTGGTGGGGGCACAGAAGCGGTGTACTTTAGCGCTGACTTGTAAAAATGCTGGATGATGGGAAGTCTGGTGTGCGAGTCCACCCAAGGAGGCCCAGCAGTGCCTTTGGTTTCGTTGTCAACAGGTTCACGGCCCGAGTCCATCCAAACTAACGCTAAAGCCATAGGGGTAAGCTTTGTGACCTTGAATGTATTGGCATCGAGCTGAAAACAGACATGTCTGTCTATCGGTGCAAAGGTGCAAGGGGTGGAAATTTCACTTACTGAACCATGATCCCTGCGGCTTCTTGGCGATATAGCAAGAGATGTTGTGCTCTGTTGAGAAGGTTCGTTCATTATGTGGCGAGAACCTTCGTACTATCGAGTCACCCAAGTTTTGCAGGTTATTGTGACTGCTCCTGACATCGTCAGAAGATTGAGCTCGCGCTTGCTGGACCTTGTCTTGGGAGATGACATTCTCTCTGTGAAAAAGCTTCACCTCTCTGAGAGTCAAGATGTTCAGAAACCCAGATGGTAAGCAAGGCTGGTCGTTGTAGTCGGTCACCTGGCAGAAACTCATATGGCGTCGGAAGAATTCTGGATCCACGCGAAACTCTGCACCCAAGGCACAGATCCATTGCGGCGAAGGGTATCCACTCATGAAAAGAAGCGTAGCGGTATCCTGTTGCGCTGTATCGGGATGCTGCAGATGTAGCTTCTTTTGTTGCTCATCCAGATCATCATGTAGCCTCGCGGGATCAGTGTGCTCGAATGGCTGTCCAATTGTTACACCTTTCTTGTTATAGACAAGGCTTGTGATGAATGGATAGCCTGTAGCAGAGGTGGGTGGTTGCACGGAAGCATTTGATGCTATGGGGGTTGTGCTACGTGGTCCAGGGCTGAGGAACTCTGCAAAGTCTTTATAATGCAGACCGCAGTGGATACTTTCACTGGGCTTGCGGCGTGTATATGCAGAGATGCTGTCGTAGTAGGCCTCTGGGCTTTGCTTCCGGGTGCTGCTGCCAAGCAGGCTGTTCGATTCCTGTGTATAAACAGCCATCTTGGCTCATGTGTCTTGGGCTCTGTACGTTCTATGACCGTTAATTGACGACATGGCCTCATATAAATAGCCAGCCGTTTCGACGAGGCTGCGATATTTTGAGACATTGAGCCACCCATGCTGGTTTGCCTAAACGAGACCCACATATTCGAGTAAGCGCTGTGGCGTTGATGGAGGAGATAGGAAGTCAGTCTCGACTAAGAGATTCTTGGGTTCTGGGCGTCAGCCAAGAAGAAGAGGCTTGAAAATGTATCATCTGAGGGTTGTCAGCTTGCGACGCCGTTCGCTCACTACCCGCCCGTAGATAGGTACCCAACATTTATCCCAGGATGCAGCAAATGCGTGGCCCCCCGCCCCTTGCCATGCCGGGCGGTGGCGCCTGTGTCGCTGCCTGAGTCACACTAAATTTGGGGCTGAGACCTTGTACTCTGTACTGTAATTGTAGCGAACAGCAAGGATACCTGCTCGCTGCACCCAATAGGATTAGTCAACTGCGGGGAAGGGGTGACCATAACCGGGAATGCTCACAGCAGTGCAGTGCTGGGGCAGGCAGGACCAGGCATTTCGGCGAGAGGAAAGACTTGCTCAAATCATCCATAACTATAACCTTTGCCAGCACCCACTCACTCACTAATCCATCTGATCTCACCACCATCAAGTCGCAGCGACAGAACAATCATCACCTCAATTCTCAACTGCATCCTTCCTTCTCCTTCTCCTTCTGCATTTGTTCATCAGTTCCCAAAAATACCCTCAATTTCTAATTTTCGCACTCATCCAAAATGGCAGTCAATGCAGGCAACAGAGTTGTGATCGTTGGTACGTATCAACAGCATTCATTTGCTCCGAAGCTCCAGGCTATACTCGGTCGCTTCTGACACGTGAGTCATTTATCCGCGCAGGAGCAAACCGCGGCATCGGCCTCAACCTCGCGCGCTCGCTCGCGTCTCGCGGTTGGAATGTCACTGGGACGGTAAGGCCTCAGACATTGAGTGACCCATCAGTGAACGATGTAAGTAGTTATCTGGCAGCTTTAACAATTATTTGATGTCCCATACTGACTCAAGGCAGCTCAAACAGACTGGGGCACGAGTTTTGGCTCTTGATTTTCTCGATGAGGACTCGATCAAGTCTGCCGCGCAAGACTATGGGAGGGGCCCTCTTGATGTGCTTGTCAACTGTGCAGGTTTGCGACACTTCCAGTAAATTCACAAAGGGAGATCTAATAGCTCACTTTTTAGGAACCGGTCCCGAGCCAGATGATTGGCACCAACACACGGCAGCAATGCTGATGGAAAAGTTTCACACCAACACTATCGTATGTAGAATACTTGCGTCTGCAGAGAGACATGGCATGCATGAGTCTGACAGCAAGTCCAGGGCCCGTTTCTCACGACCAAGTACTTCTATCCCAACCTCAAGCTCGGAAGCGGACGTGTCTACAACCTCTCGTCCAGAGGAGCTAGTATCTCCAGTAGGCCATCTTCCAAGAACAACTGGTTATCTCAGGACTAACTCAGAAGTAGATAATATCCAGGGTCAGGATCTGGCTTACCGTCTGTCAAAGACTGCCCTGAACCAACTGACAGCGACCATGGCTGCTGAGTTCAAAAACAACGGGGATGGAATCGCTGTCATTGCTGTTTACCCTGGCTACGTGGCCACCCGGCTCTCAAGCTTCAGATCTCGTGACAACATGGAAGAGTGCATTGAAGGTGTTGTCCGTGTCATTGAGACTACCGGCATGAGCGAAACCGGATCCTTCGTCAACTGGAAGGGAGAAACGATGCCTTGGTAATGAGAGAATGTCTTAGTTCTTAATATCATGTGCTGTTCTCGTACTAATATATAATCTAGGCACAGGCTACCTAGATATAATATATAAATGTGATTAATAAAAGGTTTCAGTCAGTAGTGCTTCTTAAAGTAAATGGTTCAGTAAATAAGGGCAACTACAAGCATATGATCGCCTATCGCCCGTGCATCTCACAAGTCTTCAATCTCTAATGAATAAAGACTCTTGTGGATGGGGAATTATTCAGATTTGACAGTACCTCTTGTAAGTAAAAAGCACAAAACCTAGCCACGATCTCGGAATACAATCCGTGTTCCATCAGTAGCGCGTCATTCACAGGTTATAGGTTCCCATCTGTCGAGGGCTGACCTTACTTCTTGGCGGCTGATTAGGGTTGAAACACAATGGATGTCGTTGAGGCTGATGCTGACCACCCACTCGTCATTCGACACTGACTCAAGTGGCTGCCAGGCCTATGCAGTTGTTTGAAACGGTCAATAATGCCAGCATAATTCTTTCTTTAGGCCTAGCTGATTGATCACAGTCGCTGGTAGCCAGCTTTACGCGCGAATATGGTTATTATTAGCTATCTGCACAAGCGCCTGTCATCGCTTCACTATTTGACTGCAACATATTCCCTGGTCTATTCACACACCTTTACCGCATGATCTAATTACCCACCTTTGCCCATTGAACGTACTCTGTATTTCGTAGTTTCAGCTTTCTCAAGCTCATAAGCGCCCGCATCGTTTCCACAGGCATCAACACTGGGCCACTAGCCTAAGTGATTGTCAAGGAATGGCGTTATAGTATGGTTAAAAAAGAAATACAAGCAGATAGAATCAGGCTCTGCCACCACATCTATTTATTGTACCTAGGCCGCTGATTCAAGGCCAGAGATACGCAGAGAGTCTCACGGTGACGCATTCTCATTGCCCGCAGGACACAGCGGTAGCCCCTGAAGCCTCACGCCGAGTTCAGGTGCTACGTGCCGGTAAGGCATACTTGGAGCGACCTGAATCATTCAAGGCGGCTGTGTATTGCACTTTTTGCACAGCGCGTCAAATCACATATTCTTTATTTCCCTTGCAAGCGGTGATGCTAAACACTTGGCGGCTACAGAGCCTAAATATAGTGTTTACTGTGAAAATAAGACAACTCAAAATAGTTGCTCAGTCAGTTTACCAAAGTCTAGATATCGGAGTCGCCCATGTTAAGTTGCTTAACGCTTAGTCTGCTCGATTGGGAACTGACTATACTCGTGCTATTATCGACGCTCTTTATCTCTCGCGGTGTTTTATCCCGCCCCCCTTCAGTTAGCTGGTCCTTACTGCTACCGGAGTAAACTTGATCTTTCATTTCCTAGTTTGATTTTCTAATTGAAACGTGTGTCGCTCTTTCAACCTACACGATGCTACCTAGAGCAATATCTTCCCTCCTCACACTCTTATCTACGCTCAACTTACTACAATTGCTTCAACTTACAGTGATGAGGCATGCTGCATTAGAGCCCGCGAGGAGAATTCCTTTGTCTCCCCCAACAATGGCAGCACCGCTCCTTTGGATGACATCGTCTGCGGACAGGTCTACAACGAGTCTTCTCCGGCCGCCCCTGACGCCTACATCACTTACAACTTCTGCAAAAGCGAATGCAGTGGCTGGGGTGTCTCGAGCGTCGGCAACGCAGACCAGTGGGCGGGGCCAATCGTCCAGTTCATCCTTCCATCCGTCATCTTCAGCATGAACATCCCCAGGGGCTTCGAATTTGTTTCATCGCAGTGGCTCGATATTTTGGTCTTAGGGGATCGCCGTGGATGGCAAAGAGTCGTCTTGTCGCTGCTCATCACGTTTCCAGCACTGTTGTTTGTTGCTGCGGACACCATTATATGGGTTATGACCAGCATGTGCATGGCAGGCCCAATGATGGTTGTCGGGCTACATGAAGCACTACTCGACTTCAAGATATTAAGGGCGTTGAAGAGGAAGGCCTATATTCCGGAGAGAGTTTTTGATGGGCCAAGGGTGTCTGAGGAAATCCCTCTAGACCCTATGGGACATAACCCAGTTAGAGATAATGTGGAAGGGACAGGTGGCTTAAGAGATAAGGTCGAGCTGCTGGTGACCGTTCTTGCTGGAAATCTTCGGCTCAAGACGCACAAGGACTGGCCTGACAACTTGGTGTTGATTTCTAATGCACTGCTGGCTACAGGGAGACGTCGGTCCAACGCTATGGCATCGCTTCCCGCCCGAACACCCCAGGACCTACTCGTATCAGACAACGAGTACATGCTAGCAGAGGACGAGATAAACCAGCACTATCCCAGCTTATCCGAGCAGCTTAAGAGGCTCATGACAGCTCAGTCTGCTTTCGGTGCCATCGTCGGAGCAGCGGTGGTTTTCTACCTCGGCGCCTTTATCTACACTATCCTCGACCTACTAGGCGACAAGAGTAATCGGGGTGCCGCCATATCCCTAGCCTTTGGTGTCGAATGGATGATTATCGTGCATGTCGCAATCGTCAACGGGTTCCTTCTTGCCAGCAACAACCCTAGTCCAGCCACTATGCTCATCGGGCGGCGTCTTTCGACTCTTAAGCCACAAAAACGATTGTTATTCCCTCCCATTTACGACGGAATACTCCAGCCGGTGTTCATGTGGCGCCAGGGGGTTAATAAAATGCAGTGGCTTGAGACGTCGAGAGCGTGGCGGCGTGGAGACGAAGAGTTCATGAAGGATGTCCAAGTCAAGCTTTATATTTAAAACCTTTATAGCTTAATAAAGCTTTATTTAATAAAAACCTAGCCCTAAATATAACTAAATCTCTAATAAGCTTCTTTACCTAATATTACTAGCCAATTTAACTTTTCTCTTATAGTTATTACTTATTACTTAACTTATTATTAAAAATATATAAAGTTAACCCTTTTTTATAAGTTTATTATATTTATATACTTAAGCTATATTTTA